TGCTTCTCCGCTCGCTTCTAGGTTGCGGGCTTCCCCTTCCCCGAGCCTCGGCGCCTTTCTTTCCACCTGCCTTCTCCGGCTCTGGAGCTCCCGCAGCCCTCCCGCGGCTCCCTCTTCCCCGCCCCCCTTGGCGGGAGGGCCTCCCCTGAGCAGGCGGGGCTGCTCCTCCCCCCCAGCCGCTGCCAGAATTGGAGGGCGGGGTCAGGAGCCCCTTCCCCAAAGGCCAGCCGCCTCCTGCCCGCCCCAGCGGCCTCTGGCGACCGACTTTCTTCCGAGGCTGAAGCGAGGCTTGGCCCCGAGGAGGGACCTTGGAGGTCTTCTAGTCCGGCCCCTTTGCTCAAGCAGGAGACCCTCGCCCACTTCAGACCAATGGCTGGCCGGGCTCGTCTTGAAACCCTCCAGGGACGGAGCCCCGGCCGCTTGTCCACAGTAGAGGGGGGGGGTTCCTACCATTTCTTACTCATTTTGACTTGCTTTCCTAATCTGCGTTTGACAGTATTTTTTTTATAGATTGGACTGTTTTTCCCTTTTGTGTAAAGATGAATTAAGCTGTTCTGCTGTCTCTCTGCTGCTTATCCCCTTCCTGCCTTTTCCTCCCGTTAATGGACCGGTTGCCCGTTTACATATTGAAAGAAGCTTTTGTTGTTATTTTTGACTTCATCTTTGCAGGTTTGGGCTATTTGCTGATATTCTGCCTTAGGTTATGTACCACTCTTTCCATTATTATAATTGTCCTTTTTGTTTTTCAGTTTGTGCAGCCATGCTGTTTTCTTTTGAGATCTCTTATTTGTCTTCTTCATTGGAATTCTGCTAGACTGGACAGTTTTATAATTTCACTTTTCAAAGTTTCCCAAGCTTCTTAAGGATTCTCATCCATGGAATCCTTCTCAATCTCTAAATTGATTGAAATCGGCTTCCTTAAAATCCAAGACTCTAGTTTCACTTTGTTCTATTGCTTGTGCTTGCATAATTTGGAATTCCAATATTGCATGGTCACCCCCCCCCCCCAACGCCTTCTGTCATTTCATCTCTGTTAATGAGAATTAAGTCTAGTATGGTTGACCCTCTAGTTCCCTTCTGTACCTTTTGGGAGACAAAGCTGTCTGCTAAATTTGTCAGGAATCTGATTTTCCACTAGATGCAGTTTGTCTCCTGTTGATGTCAGGGTACCAAGTCCCCCATTGCTATTGTGATGTGCTTCCTACATAACTCAGTTAAGTGACTAGCAAAAAGTTCCTCTATTTCCAAACACCTCTGGCAACGTCATTCTTTTTCCCTTTTATATTCACCTAAATGCAATCAAAACACAGGTTTTATCATTCTTCTGTTGTATTTCTGTACAGATGTAGTTATTTCTTAACTATAATTGCAAGTCCAAATCCTCTCTGGGTAGAACTGTTTCTTTTAAACAATTTAAATAGCCCTGGCTGTATATTCCATTCATGTCATCTCAAGTTTCCTTAATGACAACAATATCAAATCTGTCCTCGTGTACTTGGATTTCTAGTTGCCCTTGTTTACTCAGATTAACAAACGCAGATGGTATGGATGAAGCCTGAGTCCTCTTGAACTCACGGTGAGCTGCTCCTCCAAGCAACCTCCGGTGCTATGTAAATGTATGCAAATGCAACCAGTGACTCCAAATGGCTGCCTTGCTCCATTGGACCAAACCCTGATTGTTACTGAGATGGGAGACCACCAGGAGATCACAGAACTACAGGGCGAAGAAAGCAAACAAGCCCCCTGACATTGTGGCGTGGCAGCCACGGAAACCATGTTGTCTGGTCAATGGGGCCACTATTTGTATCAAAGATCTGACTTCCTTCGTGAGTCTCATTAGAACCCAGGTGTCAAACTTGCGGCGTCACATGACATTTTGCGCCGTGTTCCCCATTTGCGGAACTGGGGTGGGCCATGGTCTGCGCCTGACCCATCCGGCTGGGGGCCACCAGTTTGTCAGCCCTGCATTCAAAGAATGTTGTGGGTCTGATTTTCTGAGCCGGCTCTCAACCAGGCCCAGCCGGGCGGCGGCTGCCAGAGGCTTTTCCCTTCAGAAGCCATTGAATTTGAAGCCACTGAGTGGCCTTTCTTCTTCTTCTTTCATTCGGTGAGGCTGGTCCCTGGCCGCCGCCTCCCTCCCTCTCTCCCTCACCTTCAGCTGGAGCTCCTCCAGCCCAGCCTCCCACTGCAACCCAGCCTGCAGCGGGGATGCCCAGGAAGCCCTCCCCCCATCTGGCCCTCCCGGGGCTCTGAGGGGGCCTCGCAAGCCTCCGGGTCCCGGTTGTCCCAAAGGGGCTTTTTCGCGGAGGAGAAGCCCCTTTGGCGCCGGGGGAGGGGGGGAAATTCCCCTGGTTCCCCTCCCCCCCCTTCCGGCGGTGCCGAGGCGGAGCGCTGGGCGTGGGGGGGGGGCGGCTTGGTCAGCCTGTCCGGGCAAACACGCCAGGATTTCCTGCTATTGTAGCCCAAAATGCGCGGTGACATCATGGCCGTCGCGGGGGCTCCTCCTCCTCGAGGGGCCGATTGCCAGCCTTATACGGCCAGGAGCGAAGGCAGGGGAAGCGGGGGGATCGGCGGCCGCCCTCGGCTGAGGGTCGAGCGGGAGGCGGCCTTCGAGTCCCCCCACTTGGGAAGGGGAGCGGCTCCTCTTCGGGATCGGCTCCGGAGCGCTTCCTCCGCTGGCACGAAGCTCGCCTGGAGCCCCCAGCAGCCCCTGTCGCCTGCGCGGGGGGAGCCCTTCGTGCCTCTTCTGCGTGGCTGTCTTATCCACCCATCTCACCAAGGGGCCCTGGGAAGCGCGCGGCCTAAAACAGGGAACGAATTTGAAAAGGACCGCGGTTAGGAATGGCATGGGGAAGATGGCTTCCATGCACAGCAACAGTGCAGCCGCTTCAGCAACGCCAAGAAGATTCCACACCCATTGGCACTTGATTCAGGTCATCCTTGAGGGCACAGATAAATGCCCAAGTGGCCTCAATGAGAGTGCCAACAACCATCAGATGGCTGTAAAGAAACAGTCCTTCCATTTCCCCTACCCCATCCGTCCTGCCAGTACCTATCCTTCCATCGCACCCACCATCAGAACTGATGAAGCTTCTTGGATGAAAAGCAAAACAACTTCCTCAAGGGGGAAACCCCACCCCCCAGTCCAGTTGCCTTTTTGAAAAAGAACCTTTGAGGTTCCCCCAATGGTTGCAGGCAGGAATAACGGAGGAGGCAGACTGTAGAATGCATGGTGCAGATGCTGGCCTAAGAGGAGAGAGACCCAAGGGTGACCTCAGGCCCAGTTATCTGTCAGGCTCTGTAAGAACCCCACCCCCACCCCCCCCTGCATCGATAGCTTTCTTTGGTGAACTGAGCAAGGAGATCCAAACATAAGGGACCTGCGACCACGAGGGGCAAAGGCTAAGACATCCCCTCCCCCATCCACAGGAATAAGGAAGGGTCCACCTGCCCATCCTGGTAGAGCTGGAGAGCTGTTGCTGTGCATGGAACCATCTTCCCCATGCCATTCCTAAGGCTGCATCCCAACAACCACAGTCCTCCAAATATTCAGCTGCCCTACAAGCTTACTGTGGAGGAAGAGGAAGAGCTGCACATGGTGGATCGCCCACCCAGGAAGGACAAATAGCCCAGTCATTCTCCCTCATCTGGAGGGCCTGGGACAGTCTGAGATGGATGCAACTGTGGCAGAGGGCTGGAATGGCAGTTGAGCTTCAGGGGATACAGAAGAGCCCTGGGCATCACCTCCAGCTCCAACTCCTTAAGGCAGGGATGGAGGGAGGCTGCCAGTAGGGTACTGCATGAATGTCCCCAACAAAACTGACCAGCCAGTCAGCTAGGGCTTCTTCCTTCCACATGCCAGCCAGTCCAGAAGCAGCCAACAGAAGGCCCAACTCCATACTGGACAACCCCACTAAACAGAGCACAGGCCTTGCTTTGGCAGAAAATACAGGCATGATTTTTACCCCAGAGCAGAAAATGGCAGCTAGGCAGCTCTGCTCCTCTGAAGAACGTCGGTGGAAACAGGTAGTAATAGCCAGTAAAAACCAGGTTTGGCAGTCTTCAAGCTGCAAGAAAACAAAGCTCAAAGACCATCCAAGGGTCCAACCTGGAGCTACAGATAGTCTTATTAGTTTTTAGTTACTGTAGGGCCACTACGCAGTGATTGGAATTACCAACACCCTTTGTAAATGTACAATTCATGTATTGAGCAAAGAAAATGGAGCTAACAACATTCTAATATCATTATACCCCAGAAGGAAAAATGGGGCTCTGATCAAGACCTCCTTTTTCTTGTGGCCTCATGATACTCGGCTAATCCTTGAGATATATTCTGCACCCCCAGCTGCACCTTTAACAGAATAACTGAGTCGGAAGGGACCTAACCAATCTAACCCCCTGCTTAAGCAGAAGACTCTACGTCATTCCAGAGAAATGGCTGTCTAATCTCTTCTTAAAGGCCTCCAGTGACGGAGCACCCACAACTTCTGGAGTCAAGCTGTTCCACTGATTGTTCTCACTGTAAGGAAATGTCTCCTTAGGTCTAGGTTGCTTCTCTCCTTAGTTAGCTTCCATCCTTTGCTTCTTGTTCTGCCTTCTAGTGCTTTGGAGAATGGGTCGGTCCTTTCTTCTTTGTGGCAGCCCCTCAAATATTGGAAGACTGCTATCATGTCATTCTGCTCCTCCTTTTCACTAGACTAGACATACCCAATTCCTGCAACCCATCATCATGCTTTAGCCTCCAGCCCCCTAATCATCTCTAAAGTGATTAGTTAAATCTTGGACCACCTTTAGGTAGTCCAAGAACTCCCTCTGCTGGGAAGAAGTGGTGGTTTCTAAAATGCAAGCAAAGAGAGGAGGAAACTTATAAATGGGTGAGTGCCAGTTTCTCATATTTGTGGTTTTCAATTATCATGGCTCCTCAGATTTTTTTAATTCCTAAATTCTGTTATTGCCATTCCTTTACTAGTTTGAGATTTTAAAACAAAAACATGTTACTCAGTTTACTATATTTTATTTTTTAATTAAATTTATATGAAATTTGTATTTTATGTAACAATCAGATACTTTAATTAAAAAAAATAGCTAAAATTGAGCTGTTTAAAAGTTAGCATCATAGATGTATAATGCAAAAGCATTATTTAAAGGAAGCTGAATTTCAGTATTTCTAAAACTTCTGAATCAGAATTTTAGGAAATGTTTTACAACAAATATTGTCATATAGTTAAAGTGCTGAAATATTTTCATTGATGCATAAATTTGCTACTATCTTCAAAAGAATAATTGGAAAAATGGGGCTGACTAAAACATTAAAATTAGTGAAGTTTTACAAAGTTACATAGCTTAAATTTTCAGCCAAAAAAAAAAAAATTGGAAGCTGCTGGGGAAAAATTCCACAGGACAGTAAATGGTTGACATTTCCCCATCAAATACAAGTAAATAGCGCAAGCTAAATAAAAGCAGAGCAGGAAAAACAAAGAGCAGTCATGTTCACAGAATTATCCTTCAGATTGATGTGACGAAGAAAGCAGGTGCTACTTACTTAGTCTTAGACCTGAGAGACACCCAGAGCATCTTCTCTGGAGCCCTAAAATGGCACTTCTGGGATCCCAGCAGGCTGAGCTTTGTATGGACACAACCGACTTACAAGTATGAAACCCTGCTGAAGCCCTGCTGCAGGTGGTGGCCTGAAGTTGCTGAGGAGTTCAAGAAGGTCACAGAAGTTTACAAATCTCCATGTGATTAAAAATCTCCATTTCGAGATGCCACAAACTTCTCTTGGGCTCTCATTTACTTCCTGCTGCCTATTCCAAGCATAGCACAGCTACTTGGGGCAGGCACAATATTTTTACACACTGTGTGAAGTCAGGCTGGTTAAAATATAGGAGTGTCTGCACAGCCCTCTAAGCTTTGGTTGGCCTTAGTTTGGGTGCCTGTGCAGATTAGCCTCGCCAGTGGGGGGGAGGGTGGGGGGTGGTGGCCTGTGAATACAGTGCAGGACCACTAGGGAGCAAGTTGAGGGTGGCGGAGGAGCCCGTCAGGTGTCAAGACTGCAAATGGCCTCACAAAGGCCTGTTTGAGGTTCCTGCAGGATGACTTTTATGGACCACGCTTTACATGAACTTGAAGAAAAGCATCTTAGTTGGAAGAAAAAACCTGCTTTTCTACACCCCAACACTAACACCACTGCTCTCCTCTCCTCCACCCACAAAGAAGCTATTTCAAGGCAAGGAAATAAACTTTTGAAACCAACCTCCCTTTTATTGCTTGAGATTACGGTCATTTGAAGGCCATGCAGTTAGGATGGGTTGGGGGGTGGGGAGGAGAAAATAAGCAGGAAGGGGGATGAGAGGAAAGGCGAGAGCTAGAACTGCTTCAGTGGCCGAGGGTGAAACAAGATTCTTGCACCGAAGGGCCAGCTGGCATGTCTGGTGCCAAGGCGGCTTGGCACGAGCCCTCTGGCTGCCCTAGGCAGAGAAAGGCAGCCTCCCTGGGGCTGGGGAAGCTGTCCCATGGACAGAAAGCCTTGGCCAGCTAGGCAAAATTCTGGAGGGCCAGCACCTTCATAGCCTGACCCAGAGGAGCCCTTTCATTCTCCCCACGCACCTCTTTCAGGAGGACCAAGGGAGGGAGCAGGCGTGTCCTTGAGCCGGGAGCGGAACATAAATTTTGGGCAGCCCAAAGAGTTGCATTACTACTAGTTGCGTAATTCATTGGGCCTGCCTTGCCAGGAATGGGCAGGGGAGCTTCGGAGTGTCCTGACTCTCGCACGGGGGTGGTAGAGAGGTGGTTTTTTCGGTTCTCTGGAACAGTGGAGCAGCCCAGCCCTTGCCTAGGCTCCAAGGTGTCCGAGGGGACGTCTGGCACTGCAAAATGGCACAAGGGCATCAAGACGACCGGAAGGAAACTCAGACTGGGAGACAGTAAAGGGTTTGCCAGGGATCAGGGTGGATAAATATCAATGATTTTTTTTAAAAAAATCAAAAAGATCAGATTTTTTTGATTTAAATCAGATTTTTTTGATTTTTATTGAATTTATTTTAATAAAAAACTTTTGGGGTAAAAATCTATCGTAAGATAGTTTTCTATTTAAGATACATAAATAATTTAGTTTATTCAGCATGAAATGGAGCTGAGTTATGTAGCACGAGGCTGTATATTCTGCAACACTGGGACTATCGGTGAGTCAACAGTGGGTCAAAGGAGTAGCAAAGATGACAGTTGCTCTTTAAAAATTATGATTTAAATCGAGTTGATTTAAATCAAGCCTTTTTACTAGTGATTTAAATCATGATTTAAATCAACTCGATTTAAATCAAATCCACCCTGCCAGGGATTCATCGGAATGGAAGTGGAAACCATAAGAAACCTGATTTGTGATGTTGCTGCGGGGGTCGTTTACAGGCTGCTTTCTGGAATGCCTCTCCGAAGGACGAAGAGCTGCCGTTGCAACGTGGCAGAGCCCGATACACTCATCTCAAAGGCAAAACAGGCCAGAGCAGCAGGGGGACCCGGCAGGGACGAAGGTCAGCAAGAGAAGCAGCGTGGGACCATCCCACTGAATTGGGCTGGACGTTCTGCAGGGCGGTGTGGAAGGGAAAGGGCTTTCCTCCCCAAAATAAAAGCCTCCGTCACTGCATTAGACTTCTGAGGATGTCATAGTTGGCGTTGCCTTCTCTTCTCTCCTCCTCTTCTCCTTAATTACAGCGGAAGTATAAGAATGCTTGAATTTTATGAAAAAGATGGGAATGGGGATGATGATGGTTAGCAGGCCACAAAGCCCCGCAAAGGCCGCAACCATTTTGCCAGCTGTCTGGATGGGATATATATCGCCATAGCCGATGGTGGTCAAGGTGATCACAGCCCACCAGAAGGACAAGAAGATGTCATCAAACGGTCTATTCGGGTGCTCCTTGATCAAGCTGGCAAACAATATGAGGGTGCCAAAGAAAAGGATTTCGAAAAGGAAAACCCACATCAGGATGGCAATCTCCTTCAAGACGGACTTGAACATGTAGGGGAAGACCCTCAGCATCAGCGGGGTCTCCAGCAGCTTGAAGACCTTCAAGAGTTTGATGATATAGACCACACGGGACAAGTTCAGCCAACACGGCAGAGCTCCAGGCTGGTGTCCACGTCGACTGAAAAAGAGGTCCAGGCAAACTGGGAAAAGCGCCAAGAAATCGACCACATTCAGGGGCTTTCGAAAGAATTTCTTTCTGTCTGGGCAGGAAACGAGCCGGATGACAAATTCACACATGAAGCAGAGAATGAAGAAGAGCTCCAGATGGAGGAGAGAAGGTATTTGTGGACACAACAACTCCATTGAGGGGTGGTGGATGTGGGTGAAGTTGTGGTGTTCAAAGAAGTCTTCACGTTGGCCTCCTTTGGCACAAAGGATGATGATGAGGGCAACGTTGACCAGCAGGGACATGACTGCAAAGCCCTACAAGGAAGGAGAGGGAGACCCCATGTCAGTTGCCAGGAACATCACCTCCCCAACTCGACGGTAAACCACCCAGAGGAGTTACAGAGCCATAACCGCCAGCCAAGGGCCACCACTTCACCTTAAACTTACATACAACTGTACATTCAGTTCCCCTGTAGGTGCGATTTCTCCCTTCTATTATTTTGTGATTGAGTTCTTCCTGATTACTTTCCCCCTCCCATCAAATAGTGGTAGGAATAAGTGGAGGATGTCTATAGGAGGCTAACTGCTTCCATTTCCAGCTTTAAATTCTGAAACCAAACCACCATCATTTAACCATTCTGTCCTTGGACTTTGGTGGCGTGGTTTGGGCCATCTGAAGACTTTCCACTCCTATTTTCCTCCTTGAAAAGTCTACAAAAGGAAGACAAAAACCAAAACACACATCTCTGGGTCATCAGAAGCTGTTCTGCAGCCCTAGTTGAAGGAATTAGGACTCCGGAGTTTAAATGGCTGGGCTAGAAAACATTGAAAATGAAACGTGTCCTTTTCCAAGATCGATAACTCATCACTTAAAGAATATTCATGACTAGATCACAGCGATAGACCTCTATGGTGTCAAACAGTTTTTTCTAGGGAGACCCTGAAAACAGATCCCAGCAAGCGGCTCCAGGCCAAGTTCGAACTTCTTGCTTCTATGAGGTTTCTAAATTAGCTTGCCCATCTGCCCTCCAATCCTCAGAAGAGCCTTCTTAGAGATTAGAGAATCTCTATTTAGAGATATGGTGAAACAAGGAGCAGAAAAGGAAAAGGATGGCTTTGATCGGAGGGACAAAATCCAAGGGGGATGAAATGGGCAGGAGCGGGAACAGCAGTAGAGGAGAAAAGCACCCGGTGGGCAGAAGCACCACATGAGGCAAGAGTCTGATGCAGGTACAAGACAAGGAGTCGGTTGAGGCCACATCCACAGGAGGAGAAGCTCGGGATCACGCCTGCTCCCTGCTCCTTTCTTTATTTTGACCCAGAACATTGCACCATGCACGGCATTTTAGGAGAGAGCATGTTCCAGGAATGGTCAGAGGCATTAAGGATTGGTCAGCCTGGAGAAAGGGACACCACCAGGAAATCCCAAAGATAAAAAACAGCCACAACCCCCTCAGTCTTGAGAGGCCCTCTGCCCACGGAGTTTCAGCTACACGGGCTTCCACCCAGTCTTGGACCTCGCTGCCTTTGGGGGGAGGGCAGCCATTCCCCCGGGGAAACTTTTGGGTTGAGGGCCCTTCTCGTTCCTGCCTGCGCTGAGGCTGGGCTTCCTGGCGCTCCCCTTCTCCCCCCATTAAGCCCCTCGCCTGCCATACCCAGAGGGAGCCCCCGCCCCCGCTTCCTTGGCTCAGCCCCGCCTGCTCCCTCCGCGCTTTGTCCCCGGGAGGAAGGAGCCCCGCGCCGGCTCACCGTGGCCCAGGCCGACGAGCGCGGCTCCTCCAGGAGAGCCCAGGCCCACGGCGCCCACCGGCCGGCCGGCCCGCGCGGACCCCGCTCCAGCAGGCCGCGCCGGTCCTCTCCGCCGCCCTCCTCCTCGGGCTCCTGGTCGGGGTCGTCGGGGCAGAGCTTCCTCCAGCAGCAGGCGGGCAGCCGCGCCTCCGCCAGCCCCCAGAAGGCCAGCTCGGCCCGCAGCGCGGCGCGGCAGGCGGCGGGGCCGTGCAGGTGGCCGCTGCGGCACAGGTGCAGCACCTGCTCAAAGAGGCGGCCGCTGCGGTCGAAGAAGAACTCGCCGGCGCGGGCGTCGTAGGCGAAGCGGGCCGCCGCCCCGGGCTCCACCAGCCCGCCCAGCTTGGTGCCCGGGAAGGCGGCCAGGGTGGCGCGGCTGGGGCGGTAACGGAGCCCGCCCACGTTCAGGGTGACTCGGCCCGGAGGCTCCTCCATGCCCGGCGCGGGGCTCCGTAGAGGCAAAGCGGCGCCGCTCTCCCCGGCCCTCGCAGCGCTCGCCTTCCTCTCGCTGCCCTCGGACGGCCCACCTGGCTACCTGGCCAGGCGCTCGGCGGGCTTCTGTTCTGCCCCGCCGCTGCCCGCGCTCCGGGCCGCCCCCGCCCCTCACCCGCCCGCCCGCCCGCCGGCCGCAGCCCGAGTGGCGAGGGCGAGAGCCGCGGCGGAGGAGGCTCGGGCGGCTGAGCGAGGCGGCCAATCCGGAGAGGCTGCGCTCCGTCCCCCGCCCAGCTCGAAGCGAACCTGCCGCCCGAGGCTCAAGGAGGGAAGAGCCGCCCCGCCCCCCGTCCTGGCCCGGAGCCCCCGCCCAAGGGGGCTTTTCCTGGGAGACACGGGGGGGGAATGAAGACCCCCGTCTCTCTCACGGGGGGGCCATGAGCTGCCTTGACAAGGGGAGCCGCCCCTTCAATGTCGAGTTGCGAGCTCCTTTGTCCCTTCCCTTCAGGAAAAGCCTGAGAGAAATAACTGGCAGAAATTAATCAAGAACAAACTCAGCAGTTGCTTCTGGGGGGGGGGGGGCAAAGAGGGCCAGAGGCCCCCTTTTCAAAGGCCCCCCCCTTCCCGGGGATCCCGGCGCGGGGGGGGGGGGGGGGGCGGCCCGGGGGGCCGGGGGGGGGGGGGGGCTGGCCCTTTAGGACCTGGCTGAGCCCCTTCTTCTCCCCAGGTCCCTTACCCACCTAAAACAAATGGCCGAAATGCATTTGATCAGCCTCCCCGTTAGTTTCTCTGCTATCCAAACCTGGAAGCGATGGGGGCTGCCTCTGTCTTGGGCAGGATGGGTGGATTCTGTGCTGGTCCTTTAGCCAGGATGCCAAACTGGCCGGCTGGAGCTGCTTTTGGGGGAACCAAACACAAAGGGCATCCAAAGAGAGGCCTTGAATTAGAGACCGTGGGGAGAAATGGACGATGGCACACGTGGGCCTTTGGTCCCCCATCTCTCTGGCCAGAGAAATTGGGTCCAGGGGGCAACAGAAACGTGGGGTCCCATCGGAGACTTCATATTCTCCGTTCTTTGTCAGCTTGACAAAGTTGGCCTGAAAGTTCAGTCGTCTGTCCTTCTAGGCCACTGACAAAGAGCTGGTTACGATCATTAGAATCGCGGCTGATGAGTTTCACATTGTCATTGTCTAAAGATGCTTATAATTATGGTCAAGTTATATTATGATTTGACTACATTTGCTTTGAAAAGAAAATTGCTCAATTTCTGAAATAAAATACAGCTGGTTCTTCGTGTGTGTGTTTTAAAAAATTAAAACTTTAAAAAAAATCAAACACAGAAGAACATCACTGCTATTGCCAAAGCAAGGGGAAGGGACAGAGCATGCTGTTCAGGAAAAGATCTTATGCAATCTATCCCCCCCCCCTCCCCCCCCCTCCCTCTGGTGGCTCTGTTTATAGCCTGGATTTGTTTTTTGGCCTCTGTGAGGTGGACTTGAGCCAGAGCACAGCCTGTTTTTCTCTCCTCTTCTTCTCCTTCCTTTTGCAGGCTACGTTTTCCAAGCACTCTGCAAAACTGCTCTACAAGATTAAAGGTAAAAATATAAAACCTAACCAGATGGTTGGTGGAGCCTTAGCAGAGCTGGGGAAGGAACCAGGAGTTGAAAAGTGGCATTCGTTGATGTTGGGGTGGAGTGAGCTAAAACCGATTCCAGGGACTCAACCGCCTTTGTCCAAGAAGGACCCAGATCTGGTTCTTTCATTTGGGTGGGATTGTAAGAGACTTGAGTTGTTACTACTGCTTCTGTTCGGGCACAAACTGGTTGAATATGTTTAACATTTAATTGCAACCAGAACTTTTTACTCTCAGATTATGGGATTTGTGAGCTTCAGAACTGAATTGTAGTTCTTATTTTTCTCATGGTCATATATTTATTTTTATAATTTTTATAATTTTCAATAAATCATTTAGCTAGCTATGGAAATAATTGCTCAAAATTTCAGGAAATGTTATGCATTTGGTTAATTTTTTTTTAAAAAAATCCTCATTTTTCAAATCATTCACGTTCCCTAGGCAGACAATTAAAGAGGCAACCGAGTTTCCTGTTCAGCCTGGATCTTTCTGAGGAAATTGGCGTGTTAATTACTTTGGGCTCCATAGCTGGAAAGAGCCATCCAAACGATGGTCAGGTATTTGAAAGAAGCAGATGAGTTAACGTTTTTTTCATCTTAGGTGCTAAAATGAATGAGTTAAATTTAATACTTCTTTTGATATTTTATTACGTACTTCTGGGCCACTGATTTTAGTGGTCAAGAAACAACCGGAAAGAATTACACTGATGTAGGATGAAGTGGAAAGATAGTATCTGAGGGCTGTCTCTGGTGGACAACCTTTTTCTTCTAAATGTTTGGAGACACAGTGTGATTGTGATCTGCAGAAGTCTGTCCTTAACTAGGAAATGTTGGGAGGAAGTAATTTGCTGTAATATGCTAAACAACAACTCTAAGCCATAAAGCACACCGCAGCTTCAGCAATTGCCTGTTGCATTAACCCAGTTGCTAGATTTGTGAAGTTGAGACCTTCTTCCACGTTCTTTGGATTGATCTCCATCAGAAAAGAGGCAGAGCAGTGGGGAGGAAGGGGCTGCAAGAGCAGCCCCACCAACTCCCTTTCCCCTTTCTGCCCTCTCTTCTCATCCTAGGGGAAAGGGAGGCGATCCAAGAGCCTGAGAGTTCAGCCTATTTAGAAGTCTCCCATCACTTTTCTTCTGAAACGTTATTAAAAGGGCTGGACTCTTAATAATAGTAAGAATAATGCTAATAATACCTCCATGATTCCTAGTTAGAACCAAATCACTGGATAACAAAGCCTCTGCTATCTCCTGGATGAATATTGTAGATGATGACAATGATGACAGACTTTTTCCTGTCCTTGGCAGCCAGTCGCAAGAGATGAAACCACTGGAGGAAAAGATCTCCTTGAACATTGGGGGTCTCCGGTATGAGACCTATGTCAGCACCCTCCAGGCTTTCCCTGGCACCAAGCTATGCCACCTGACAGAGCCCCAGGCAGCCGCCACCTTCGACTACGATCCGGACACCAAGGAGTTCTTCTTTGACAGAAGTTCCTGCCTCTTTGAGGAGGTGCTCAACTACTACAGAACCAAACAGCTCCATTGCCCTGACCTGACCTGCAAGTCAGCCCTGGACGAGGAGCTGGCCTTCTGGGGGCTCAGCAACGCACCCCTGGCACCCTGCTGCTGGCAGAAATTGGCCGTCGCTGAGGGGCAAAAGGAAGAGTACGGCATCTGGGAGGAAGACCAAGCAGTCGCTGGGCTCCTGGACCAACCGGGAAGGAACCAGAGCACCTGGAGGGGCCGATGCCGGACCAGAATCTGGGCCATGTTTGAGAAGCCCTTCTCCAGTTTAAGCGCAAAGGTCAGCTAGGGTTTTGGGGGGCAGCCTGTGCTCTTTGCAGTATTGCTCAGTGGTTTTCTCGGCCTCTTCAGGGGCCATGGCCCGAGGCCGAGCCAAAGGCACTCGCCCGTTTTGTTAGCGTAAAGCGGCTGGTCACTCTTTCAGAACTGCGCTGAGCCCTTGGTCCCCCTGCAGGGAGAGTCCTAGGGCAGCTGGAGGGCAGCCATTTGGTGTAGTTCAGGGCCAGCTGAAGGGCAATTTATTCATTTTGACGCCCATTTCTCTCAGGCGTTAAAAGAAAATACCTTCAGGATTGAAGAGCATGGCACATCAAGTATAAATCTTGCTGCTTGTTATAATAGTAGTAAAAGTAAGAATGGGGATTTGATTAGCTCCCCGTGGGGTGAAAATCAATCTATGCAACACTGAAACAGCCTTCCTCCAGCCTCTTCCAGCTCCTCCTCTATTTCAGACAAAGCTGGCCAGAGATGGGATATTTTTTTCCAATTCTTCCCCAAGTTCATGAGCAGAGAAATTGGGCAGACATCTTTTCCCCTGAATTTTTCTAGGGGAAGGAGAAATTCTCCAGGGAGTGCCTGGGAGGAGGCTCTTCCTGAGATTATGAATGGAAATGGAGAGAAGGGGGGGGGAGGGGAGAAGAACCAGATGTTAGGGGATTGTCCTCTGAAGGACCGGCTATTCAGATCCACCTTTCGCCAGCCAGTCTTAGGTATGTAAGGGAGCCCCACTGGTCAACCTGGGGGATTTTTCTGAAATCCTCTTCTCTTTGCAAGGACATCTTCTCAAGCCGACTGAGGTTGAATAAGAATGAATTTTAAGAAAATGAGGGGCAGGGTTAAATCCAATTTTTTTTTACTATCGGTTCTGTGGGCATGGCTTGGGCGTGGTATGTCTTGATGGGGGTGGCTTGGAGGCGTGGCAGGGAAGGATATTGCAAAATCTCCATTCCCACCCACTCTGGGGCCAGCCAGAGGTGGTATTTGCTGGTTCTCTGAACTGCTCAAAATTTCTGCTACTGGTTCTCCAGGACCTGTCACAACCTGCTGGATTTCACCCCTGATGAGGGGTCATCATTTCCCCTGAGGTTTTAGTTTCAGACAGTTCACTCCTATGCCCTGGATAGGAGAGGTGATCCGTGTGCTAAAAGCTGAGCATCTGTAACTTTTTTTTTTCTTAAATTTGATTTATATGCCGCCCTTCTCCAGAGACTCAGGGCGGCTTACAATGCGCTAAGCAATAGCCTTCATACTTTTGTATATTTATACAAAGTCAGCTTATTGCCTCCCACAAACTGGGTCCTCAATTTACCCACCTTAGAAAGGATGGAAGGCTGAGTCGACCTTGAGCCTGGTAAGAATTGAACTCGCAGTAATTGCAGGCAGCTGGATGTTAAATGCTGCCTTAGGAGGCATTAGCCTCCTACGCCACTCAGGCTCCTTAACTCACTTGCACAGCTGGCATTTTGCCCAGCCATCATGATATTCAGGAATGATCAGGGTCAGGCTCACCTCGAACCGTGAGATGAGTGGCGTATACATGTGATCGATAAAGCAATCCATCCATCCTTCTGACCTCCTCTCTTTTCCCCCAACAGGGCTTGGCTACTGTGTGTCTGCTCTTCAATATAGGGATATGCTGTCTTTTTATTGCCAAAGCTTTTGAAGACACCAATTTTTTTCCTATTTACATTCTGGAAAACCAGATCACTTCCGTCCTTCACACTGAAGCTGACAATCCCTTTTATGCAAAGCCGCATTACCTCCTTCACTCGGAACTTTTCTGCGTCCTCTGGTTCATGCTTGAATTTTTTTTGCGACTCCTTTCCTGCCCAAATAAGAAGGAATTTCTCCAAAGTCCACTGAATGTAGCTGACTTTCTCTCCCTCTTCCCCGTTTACATTGAGCTTTCCTTGCTTGGGCATCCCACAAGCCATTCAAATTTTGTATTCTGGCTGGACTTCTTGCGTGCTTTGTACTTCTTCAAACTCTTGAAGGTCCTCAAGCTGGTGGAGACTCCTTTGATGCTAAGAGTGCTCTCTTATACCTCCAGGGCCCTCATCAAAGAGGTCTTTCTCCTCCTGCTGGTTCTACTCTTCGAAATCCTTTTCTTTGGTTCTCTCTGTTATTTTGTAGACATAATTGAAGATAACACAGATACACATTTTCTTGACATAGGCTCAGCTTTCTGGTGGGCGGTAGTCACCTTGACTACAGTAGGTTATGGAGACATTGTACCCACCTCTCTAGTTAGTAAACTGATTGGAGCCTGCACAGCACTATGTGGTGTCCTGACCATTATCATCCCAATCCCCTTCTTCTGTATCAAATTCCAAGGCTATTACGATGCGGTCATGATCGAAGAGAAGAGAAAGAGACAAATGATCACCTTGCCGTCATGATGGGTGGGTGGGATGCTGCCAGCGTTTCATCAGGAAAAGACGTCTACTTCCAAACTGCTTCTGCTCGTTCAGCCCGCCACATGTGTCTTCCCGTATGAAAGGTTAATGCTTTCATAAAGCCACTCTCGGTCTACTCCTGGAACTTCTCCGCAATGGACATGATCATCCCCACAAAAGTCTTATTTTCAAAAGGTTTCAAAATAATTTTGTAAAAGTTCTTGCTTCCAACTTAGCTGGCAAATAGCAGCCTTTTTCCTACTATGGACACAAGCTTATTAATTTGGAGTCTATCAGAAATTTTGATCATGGCGCCTTCCTTTCCAGCAAGCATCCTTACTGGCTGAGGATAAAAGGAAGGTGAGGTCATATGGCAGACACCGGTAGGGAAGGCTGGCCTGAGTTTGATCACAACTTTTAGAGGAATATAGCAATAGCAATAGCATTTAGACTTATATACCGCTTCATAGCACTTCACACTCCTCTCTAAGCGGTATACAGAGTCAGCATTTCTGGACTTCCAGTAGGCCTGTTTTTCGCCCTCTGGAGGCTCCAGAGGTTTTCCAGTAGGCCCCAGGAGGGCGAAAATAGCCCATTTCTGGACTTCCTGTAGGCCCGTTTTTTGCCCTCCGAGAGCCTCTACACAAGCCCTGTACTTACCTGGCATCCAAAATGGGCCGTGTGGAGACTCCTGGGAGGGGAGGGGTGGCTTGGGCATGCACGCACATCTCCGCATGCGCCGGAGAGACCCGAAAATCAGCTGGCCAGCGGGAGGCATGCTTGCATGCATGGTGGAGCTGATATAGGGCGATGGTTTGCATGCCCACAGAAATGGCGCCATGTGTCAGCTCTGGCACGTGTGCCATAGGTTCGCCATCACGACAATAGGGCATATATTGTATGTCTGTGAGTTTTAAATATTTCATTATTGGCTATTTTGGATTCCTCCTCATGCATTGGTATATTTACCAGGCTCTTCATACACCTGTCATACAACTTGATTTTTCTTTGCCTGTTTTTTTGCAAATTAGAAGCCCATCAATAAACTTTCTCCTGCCCATCTAGTAGTTCAAAAGCATGCAAATGCGATTAGCACTTTGATGGGAAGGTAACATCATTCCATGTGCCTCGGCCTACAATCATGCTGACCACATGACCACAGAGGTGCCTTCAGACAACACTGGCTCCCTCAGCTAAGAAATGGAGACAAACAGCGCCCACTAAAGTCAGACAACTGGACAGGGAAATCCTTGACCTTTTTTTTTACACTAACCTTTGAAGCAGTTGTATCTTCTTTCAAGAAAACCTTATCCCTTATACTAATAACGTTTTTGAAAATGTTTTCAAAACTCTGGAAATCTCTGTGAATCTCTTTGGAAGACATTTTTGCAGAGAATTTCATCAGGACACCAAGAACTGTCCCTGCAGTGGTAGTGGACAGTACATCAGGGTGTCCGCAGGAAGGCAAAAAAAGTCAAGATATTGTCCACAATCTGGAGATCATGATGAGACATAAAAAGGACGGGGCTTTAATGACGTGCTTCTAGCTGCTATCTTGACTTTTTTACACCCCACAAATGCGGACAAACATGCAGTATATTATAATACAAATTATAATATAATAGAATTATAATAGAATTATACTTTAACAATGGAAACATTGCAAACTCTGTAGAACGTATCACTGACAATGTCCAATTAAATAGTCTTTTAAGAATATTTGTATGAAGGAATTGGAATAATTGTTCTGCAACCTTGGCTAGTCTACTGACCATTTACTGACTTAAGGTGTATTCAAAAATATATTAATCAATTCTTATAGTTTCATTCCACATTTTCTATGTAATCAATTTTAGTTTTTAGATTTTGTAATGTATCTCTCTAATTAAAAAAAGATGCAAGCAGAAACCTATCGTATTTTACTGATATATCTCAACCCCTGCCTCACAGCCATCGCCCTGACCCAATTTCTCTGCCCAGAGAGATGGGAGACTCCCCACTTCCCCAAGGCCCACATATGTGGTCCATTTCTCCCCACCGTCTCTAATTCAAAGCATGGCCTGACTGCATCTCTTTGGGTGCCAATTGTGTTTGCCTCCCTCAAACTCTTGGCTAATCAATTAACAAATGTATGCAGGAAACATACCACAGTAGTACTGGGAGACGTTAACTACCCTGATATCAACTGGGAGACAAACTCTGCAGCAAGTGGGAGATCGAACAGATTTCTAACCAACTTAGCTGACAACTTTGTCATCCAAAACGTAGAGGAGGGAATTAGCTATATAGGCTGGACCTAATTCTTGCTAATAGAGAAGAAGTGATAGAGTCCCTTCCAGGCCTATTCCTATTCCTATTCCTATTCCTATTCCTATTCCTATTCCTATCCTAATTCCTATTCCTATTCCTATTCCTATTCCTATTCCTATTCCTATTCCACTCCACTCCACTCCATTCCATTCTATTCTATTCTATTCTACAAAAAAAAAAAAGATGAAGTCAGGAAAGCAAAGGCTCAGAATGAACAAAGACTTGCAATAAAAGTCAAATATAATAATAATAAAGTTTCTTTCAACATATAAATAACAAGAAAAAAGTCAAGTGAACAGTCGGTCCACTAAAGAGAGAAGATGGCAAGGAGGTAACAGGCAGTAGAGAGAAAGCAGAGCTGCTTAATTCATTCTTTGCATCAGCATCACGCAAAAGGAAACTATAGCCCAATCTACAAAAAAACGTATTTGTAAAAGACAGACTAGAAATAAAAATTAAAATAAGCAAGAGAATGGTAAGAAAATACCTGTTTGATCTTGACAAATATAAATAATCAGGACTTGATTGATTACATCCCAGAGTTGTGAAGCAGCTGGCAGATGTCATTTCAGAACCATTGTACCACATCTTTAAAAAATCCTGGAGCACAAGGGAACTACTTGAGGATTGGAAAAGAGCTGATGTGGTTCCCATCTTCAAAAAAAAAAAGGAGGGGGAGCCAGACCCAGGGAACTACAGACACTCAGCCTAACATCAATACCTGGGGAGATACTGCAAGAGATAATAAAAAACAGATCAGTGAACATCTAGCAACAAATAAAGTTATAACTATTAGCCAGCATGGTTAATGGGTTTGTTAAAAACACATCCTACCAAACCAATCTTATTTCATTCTTTGACAAAATGACTAAACTAGTAGACCAGCGAAATGCTGTGGACATAATATACTTAGACTTCAGCAAGGCATTTGACAAAAGTAGACCACAATCTACTTTTGATAAACTAGAAAAATTGACAAAACCATGCTCAACGAGTACTCCTTAATGGGACTACATCTACATGGAAGGAGGGAAGCAGAGGGGTAATACAGGGTTCTGTCTTAGGCCCAGTACTCTTCGATATCTTCATAAATGACTTAGATGAGGGAATAGAAGGGGAACTCACCAAATTTGCAGATGACACCAAGCTGGCAGGAATAGCCAACACCCCACAAGACAAGCTCAGGATCAAAAAAGATCTTCACAGACTTGAACAATGGCCCTATCCAACAACATGAAATTTAATATGGAGAAAAGCAAGGTTTTACACCTAGGCAGGAAAAACCAAATGTACAAGTACAGATTAGGCGAAACCTGCCTCAAAATCAGTAACTCTGAGAGGGATAGGTCAGAGTCCTAATGGACAATCAGTTAAACATGAGCCAGCAGTGTGTGGCAGCAGCCAAAAAAGTTAATACAATCCTTGGTTGTATAAACAGAGGAATAGAATCAAAATCATGTGAAGTATTAGTACCGCTTTATAAAGTCTTAGTAAGGCCACACCTGCAATACTGCATCCATCTTTGGTCACCAAAAGATGTTGAGACTTTGGAAAAAGTTCAAAGAAGAGCAGCTAGGATGATTAAAGGCGTGGAGACAAAAACATGAAGGAATTGGGTTGGCTAGTCTACAGAAAAGAAGGGCTAGAGGTGACATGATAGCAGTATTCAAGTATTTTGAGGGACCGCCACAAAGAAGAGGGGGTCATCTTATTTTCCAAAGCACCAGAAGGCAAGACAAGAAACAATGGATGGAAACTAATCAAGGAGAAAAGCAACCTGGAATTTAGGAGAAATTTCCTAACAGTGAGGACAATCAGCCGGTGGGGTACAACTTGCCTCCAGAAGTTGTGGGTGCTCCACCACTGGAGATTTTAAAGAAAAGACTGGATAGTCCCGTGTCTAAACTTGGTATAGGGTCTCCTGCTTGAGCAGGGGCTTGGACTAGAAGACCTTCAAGGTCCCTTCCAGCTCTATTCTAACTGAAAAGCGGCCACTTTGGTGTGGGGGCTCAAGGACCAGGCTAGAGACCGAGAGGCTGTGGGCTTTGCTCCAGTTTAAGGCATGAAGCTGGCGTGGGGGATGGGTGGGTGGGGGGTTGGGGCCACTCTTCCCCTGTGAACCTCTGCAGAGGAAGGCAAGGGCAATCACTTGCAAAACTCTTGCCAGGAAAGCAGCTCTTCCTTTTTACAATGTCCCCCCAAATGGCTTTTCTGATCTTGTTGTTTGCGGGATGGCTTTTGAAAGACACCACATAAAAAATAGACACTGACTTTTTGCCGCATAAGAAGAAACTGTTGGGAGTTAATACTGGATGACCTCTGGTGGCTATCAGTCTACCCCAGGCCTCCCGTATTCTGCTGGTTGTCTCTGTAGCCACACCCCACTTTTCTCCTGGGTAAAAAGAATTTGGGGAGGAGCCATATCTGTGCTTTCTGCCAGAAATGGCAGCAAGAACGAGGCGAGGGCGGGGACCAGACAAATAGGAGGAGAGGAAGCACAAGAAGATGCAATCATGTGAGATCCCTCATGCACAGAAGAACAGCTCTAAACAGGACATCTAAAGGGTTCAAATGAAGGTCATATGTTAGAGAAGTGAGCTAAAAAACAGCCAAAGTGACAAATGCAAAGGGAAATACTGAGAGAAGAAAAAAAATGGATTTTGAAGCATTGACTAGCATTTATGAAGATCTTGGAATCTCTGGGGCAGGACAGGAAGTCATGGCCTCTGTGGCAACAACAGAGATCTGTTCCAGGTCATTGAGGACCACACATTAGATCTGATTTCTCTCTTGAGACAGTTGAGATGTGATCCGGCAGTGGAGGACATCAACATCACTCTGTTGGCGTGGACAGATCAGGCTCCCTGAGGTCACCCCTCCCTGCAAGCAGGCAGGGCCCTCTCGATCTGCCTGACCAGGTGACTGATGGGCCCCGTGGGTTCCAGGGACAGCTTGGAGTTTCCCCGAGGATCTGGAGGAGGCCCTGGTCGCTGCCTGGAACAGGCTGGGGCTTTGGATGTTATCACTCCCGTGCAGCATCTCCCTCTACCCTGGTCCTGTGGTGCCCGTCGGCTTACTAAGCATCTCTGGGAGATGAAGCACCAGAAAAGATGCCTTGAGCAACGTTGGCGGAAGACTCAAAGAGCCCATATCCCATTGTGACAATAAGGCAGTGAAACATCCATACTTCTCTGCCTCCTTATGTTCAGAGGCTCTGTTTAGGTTAACCCAGGCCCCATTGGGTAGGGAGCCCCTCCACCTCACTCAACTGTGGTGAGGATTTTTCAGGTTGTCTGAAGGATAAAGTCACTCAGATGTTCAAACTTGCACGTACAGCCTTGGGCACTGAGGTGCGAGGGGCACAACCTGAGGGTGTGGTCCTTGAGCAGACACGGCTTTCTGTGCTGTCAGCTCAGCCACCTGTTTACTGGATCTGGGGTCATGAAAACAGCCAGGAAGGTGAGCCAAGGGGCTGTCACTGATCCAGTGGTGGGTTGCCCCAATTTGCACCGGTTCTATAGAACCAGTAGTAAAACTGGCGGGATGCTCCACCCACTGACCCTAACGTCATGAAAATGCTTCTGTGCATACGCAAAAGAGCGCATGCGCAGCCCCGTTACAAACCGGTAGTAAAGATAAGTAGAACCCACCCCTGCACTGATCAGTCTCCAACCTCACTTTTTGAGGAAGGTGGCTGGTCTGGAGAGGATGAGAATCCAGAGGTAATGGATCATTTAGACTTGAAAGCCAGTCAGGTTCCAGGCCGGGGTGAGACAGTCTCAGTCGTGCTTGTTGGATCACCAAAGTCACGATGGGGGATGGTGGCTGATCCACCCTTTTTGCTCCTTGCTATCTTAGCAGATTTCAATAATGTCAATCACATTATTTTCTTCTGAACCAGCTCCATTTTATATTATTTCCCTTTGTTTCTCCAGGGCCAGTTCCAGAGGTTGAAGGGGAGAGTTCTCCTGGCCCCTCCTTTGTGGGATGCTGCTAGGTTCTGCTTTCTCTCTCCGCCTTTTCCATAACTCCACGAAACCCCTGAGTGAGGTCACCTGCTGTTTTGGAGCTCAGTATCATCACTACCCAATTATATCTTTCGATTCCAAGTGGCCAGTGAGGCTGCTGGGGGGAGGAACCATTTTTACTCAGTCCTATCAAGACGGAGTGGCCGTGGGTGCTTGCTTCACCAGATCTGGGGATGTGATCTTGAATGAAGTTCCAGTTCCCCATTCAAGGGTGTGTGCACAATTTGCGGGTCTTCCTGGACTCACAGCAGTGCACCAGCTGCAGCCGTTCCTCAGTCAGGGCCTCTTCAGGCAGCCACTCATGTGCTGCCCATCTATCTAATGGTTTGACTGCTGCAATGCACTGTGACTGTGATTCTTTTTTTTTTTGTAATGAGTTTTTATTTTATTTTATAGTATATAAAAATTCCAACTTCAATTGAACAGTGTGTTGACTGGGTACAAATCATTTTAAGAAGTAATATTCAAAATGTTTACAACAATATTCATCACATTTATATCAATATATATTAATACCGATAATAGTCATACTATTTGTTTAACCAATTTTAACACATCTTCCTTGTATCA